CTGTCTTCTAATGAGGGCTCTAGGCTGCTCTGTTGTCTGACCTACATTGCTCACAGCACTCTTGGGCTTTGTCTCGCCATGAGCCACACCATCTGTGTGTGTCTGCCTTACTGTGGGGCTAGGTGGGGAGCAGCCACGATAGGAGAGCCCTAACTCTCCCTCCGCAGGCTTTGCAGTAACTCAGCAGCTGGAGGGGAGGGGGCAGGAGTATGGCAGGAGGAAGCAGCATGAGAAGTGCAGCCTGTGCTGGGGAGGGGCAGGGCTCAGAGCTCCCACCAGCAAGCACTGCCACACCCACAATGGGCTGCTGCAAGACCCCCTAAGGGGACACCTTTACAGAGCTTCCCACAGGGCCTGGCACCCAGAGAATGTTAAATGACAGGCAACAATAAAGAATGCTGGAAAGGTAACACAAGGAGAGGGAATACATCTCGTGTCAGTATTTAGACCTTTGTAGTGAAATCTTTATTGGACGCCTAGGGCCAGGCCACAGGGCCCTGCCCACTTCCCAGGGAACCATCATCACACATGGCAGCTAGAAGGGACTAGAGTCAAGACTGTATCCTGTGGGCAACTGGAACCGGTGGACATGTTCCAGAGGGGCGGTAGTAGGCTCCCAGCTGAGCCAGGGATAATTAACTCCACATTCTGGGCCAGCTAAATCGGAAGTAAGGAGACAAAGATCAAGATATTGGTATAGTGGACCTGATGCCCCCCATGGCTCAGGGAGGGGAGCCTTAAGGCCTGAGTGAGGCAGAAGCAGAGGGTTGGGCAAGAGGAACTGATTTTCTTTGGAGACTGCGTACTCCAGAAGAGGCCCAGAGTCCCACGTTAACAGCCACTGTGAACCTGACAGCTGTTCTAGGTGCCAGAGGAGCAGTGCCAAATATACTTTTCCACCACATCTCCAAGAAATGGCTCCAACTGGACCAGTTTTGCTGTTCCTTAGGGGAAGCAGCCTCTAAGTGCTTGCTTGCTGGCACAAATGAGGAACCGAGGAACGCATTTGTCCACAGTATGCCTTCCCACTGGTAGCTGGTACAGTGCCAAGTTCTCTGCCCCTGCAGGCATTGTGTACAAGTCCACCAAAGGTTCTGATTGGAGGGGATAGGGGGCCTTTGGCAGGTGGAGATGGCCCTGTCAGCTGTGACTTCTACACATAGTACTATAAGGAAACTGGGACATGAGGCCCTATCTTTGCAACTCCTGGTACATTTTCTTAGGAGCACACATAGACAGGGCCTGACTCACTCCAGACACCTCAGGCATGGCTTACTCATCTGCATGGGCCACAAGCCACACCCATGCCTGGTGTCTGGCAGGTGACAAGTGAACGCATGGAAAAAGAGTCAAGCAGAAATATAGTTGCACAGGAAGGGGAGATTATGTTAGAGGAGCCCCTGAACTCCTGGCAAGCAGCACCCCAAGAGTGTGACCCACGTTGCTCTCAGTCAAGCATCTCAGGGCTGGAAGGCCTCAGGCATAGCCTAGTCTGGTCTATGCTGCATAATGGTCCCTTCCCCAGCACTGCACAGAGCAGGCCAGAGCCCTGCACAATCACCCTCCAGCAAGGACAGACTGAGCACACCACAGCTCTGTGTCCTGCCCTGGTCCCATAGGCTGTGACCTCTCACTGACCTGGGCTCACTTGCCAACTCTAAGGTCTCACATGAGCCATTTCATTTCACTGCATCCCAGTTACCTTCTTTATGAGCTGGGTGTAACACTGTCCCCTGCTCAGGGTTATCATTAGGGTTACAGAGAAAATACAGTAACAAAACTAGGAAACACTTCATCTTCTAAAAGGCAGCAGATCAGGAGTCATTGATGCTATCATTGCATTTTATGATCAGTTGTCACACATGGCTGGAGGGAATTTTTATGAAGGAGCTCACAGAATGTTCCAAGAGACGGAATTCAGGCTTAAACCCACCAGGCTACCCTAATTACAGTGACTGTATTATGAGACTCATCAAGAAGGTCTTGTGAGGATGATGTATGAAAGTTAAGACCAACCAGGGTTTGCAGAAACCTTCCCGTAGGAACATGTTCCATAGAGAATGCTGTAGGCTGCTGTGGCCGCTGCTTGCAAGGGGCAAACCAGAGACAGTGCTCAGCACCAGCGTGCACCCATCTCTGTCCTAATCCGGAAGCCAGCAGGGGTAGAGGCAGAAAGCCAAGGTTTCCACCATTATGCCAGGTTACTTGTAGACTGGCTCTACAAGTCCAGACCCAAGATCTAGGAGCCCACGTGACAGGCAGGACATGGGGTCCTGAGAGTAAAAGAAAGGGAAGATCAGGTGTTTCTAGCAGGTAACGGTGGCTGCCCCATAGATACCCTGGGCCAGCCCTTGGCCTGTGTGCAAAAGTTAGGTCATGAGTAATGCTTGAACCTGAGCAAGGTGGAGAAGGGAGGAAGGGCTGCAAGGACATGATCCAAATAAGCCTCAATGAAGGGGGCAGAGGCACAAGGGCATCAATCCACATTCAGTTCTCTCTAAATCTCCCCACATCAGTGTGTGGGCACTACCACCCACAAGCCAGAGACCTGGCATTGGCCTCTCTCCCCACTGCCTCCCTTGCCTCCTTCAACTACTGCTTGTCAAGACCTGCCCAGTCTCCCTCTTGGCTCAGTGACCTCTCCTCTGCCCCCCACAGCCACCATCCTACCACAGGTCCCCTCCTGGCTCACTGCACAGTCTCCTGCCTAGCCTTTGGCTTCCGGCCTCCTGTCTGCCCACCAACGCACCCACCACTGCCAAACTTTTCTTCAGAAAAACAAATCTGGTCATGTGTATCCTTGGCTCAAAATCTTAGGCACCTCCTGTTTCAGACCAGATCGTGTCTGGGCTGGCCCCAGGACCTCCGTGATCTGCCTACAGTCTCTACTGCCCGCAGGATCCCAGGGACCTCACTGCCAGTGGGCTTCTGTGTGTGCTCCCCAGCCCACCTGAACCCTGCCCCACTTCTCTGACTCCCACTCCGGGCTGTGCTACTGCTCTTCTTGCTCCGGCTGACTCGCCCTGGAATACCCTCACACTCCTCTGCCTCCCACCCCTTGGGTTCAAGATCAGCTCTGACTTGTTTGGGTTTCGACATGTGCAGTAACCTGCTATCCCTCGGGAAACAATCTAAATATCTTGTAAATGAATGGCTGGGTGAAGACCAGTGAGGCGGTCCATACCAGACCCATTGGCAGGGCAGAGCAGATACATCAGGGTTTAGGGCTACTGAGTCCGTGCTGATAGGGCTTCTGGGTGGATGCCCAGGCTTCACTGCACACATACATTTGAAGATTAGGGAACAGTGTCTTAAGAAACAGTGGTCTTTGTCTTCATGTTCAAGCCAGTTCCCCCAGAGACATCAAGAGATCAAATGACAGCCAGCACTGTGGTGAAGCTAGTTAAGCTTCCACTGGCAATACCAGCATCCCATGTGTGTACTGATCTGAGTACACTTGAATTCCAGTTCATTGCTAATGTGCCTGGAAAAAGCAGCAGAAGGCCCCTGCACCCATGTGGGAGACTCAAATGAAGGTCCTGGCTCCTGGCTTTGACTTAACTCTACCCCAGCCATTGCTACCATTTGGAGAATGAATCAGAATCAGAGTATGGAAGATATGTGTGTGTGTGTGTGTGTGTGTGTGTGTGTGTGTGTGTGTGTGTGTGAGACTCACTCTCTGTAACTCTATCTTTCAAATAAACAAACTGTATCTTTTTATGCATTAAAGAATCATAAAACAATCAATAAATGGCTCATTGTTGCCAAACTGGCTTTATCAGCTAAGAGGGTCTCGGGAGAAAGACTGTTTAAGAACCTTCCCCCAGCTAAGGGAGCTAAGACTTGGAGCAGGGATGGGCCTGCCGCATAGCTTGTCAGAGCTAGAAACCTGGATTTTTCTTTTCTCCTCTATGGCCTCCTTGTTCGTGGTGCTTATTGCTGAACCCCCAAAAAGAGAGCGATTGGTGAAGTTCATCAAATAGACTGAGCAGCACCAGACTCCACAGCGACATGCATACTAACTGCTCCATTCCCCCAACACAGCTTCTCCGGGCTCCCAATGAAAGCTGCCCTGCAGAGCTTTAGCATTCAGTCCCACATGTGTAGCCAACAGCATGACCCCTTGCAGCCTCCCTCAGCAGCTGCATTTATCTGACCCTCCTGTGAACATCATCAGCCATCTACCCTCTAGCTCTGGCAGATCAGAAACAGCTGATGAAAAACCAGGAGCAGGATGGCCTGGTATCACCAACAAGGAAACCAAAGCAAAGGCTGAGGGCCAGGAGGGCAAGCAGCAACAGCCATTCACCACCAAGCACCAGACCCTCCTGAGCACACAGACCCCAGCACGGGCCCTACATGCTGCTCAAATCCCAGCCAGTGATCAGCAATCATGTAGACATTCCCCAGGTTTGTTGTTGTTGTTGTTTTTAATCTCTTAGTGATTAGGATGGCTAGGATTCTGGCAATGTAAGAAGCAGCCCCTCCACTGTTCCAAAGACGATCAGTCCTTCAGGGTTCTGGGCATCAAAGAATCTTCCTTCTGGTGGTTGTGGGGGATGGAATGGAGTGGGAGGGAACGGGCATTTGTTGATAGAACTCAGTGTAGCAGACCTCATTCATTCTCACTTCATTTTGCAGCTTCTTAATCCTGCATGTCATCACAGGCATCCAGTATCCATCAAATTTGGGAGTGGCTAAATGGTTTGAGTTTTTCAGCATTGTTTTAGAGAGTGGAGAAGTGAGGCCCCAGGGTTGGAACTGCCTGTCTATCCTCACAGTGTGCACCTCAGAGGCTGGGCCCATCGCCACCCATGATGTTACTGCTGTTACCACCATGTGTGCACCAGCACCCCACGAAGGAAGAGTTGCACTGTGCATGATGAACACATGGCACTAACTGTCTAGCCCCCTCTCCCCTCCAGCAGCCCTTTTGGGGGTGGGGATTGTCACTGCTACCAGGCAGAGGACATTTCACCTACACTTTCTTTGACCAACAGGAATGAGTTCAGAGCGTGGACGGACATCAAGCCCGTGAAGCCAATAAAAGCCAAGTCTCAGTACAAGCCCCCGGATGATAAGATGGCTCACGAGACCAGCTACAGTGCCCAGTTCAAGGGCGAGGCCAATAAGCCGAATGCAGCTGACACCAAGGGCCTGGAGCGCAGACGGATACGCAGCCTCTACAGCGAGCCCTTCAAGGAGCCGCCAAAGGTGAGCCCCAGCTTGTGGGGGGAGATAGGGGGAACCCGCCTGCATGGCCTGTTCTGGAGAGGATTATGAAGCATCGCTCCTTGGGGGCTCCCACCCCCACCAAAACACACACACACCCATTGTCTCTTCAGCACACTGAGGCACAGGGTACCTGAATGGAATCTTTTGTTAGAGTCAGAAGGAAAGGTTAAGAAAGAACAATGCCAGAAGCTGGACAGCTGAATGACTGGTAGATTTCTGGAGTAACAGCTTCTGAGTCTGAGAAATCCAGGGGGAAAAAAAAAAAAACCACCTCACCTGACCTAACCTATAAATACTCTTGGCCCTGCCCTTACAGGACTAGCCTGGGGTAGCAGGCCCACTCCTGACCCATCCTGGCCCCACTTCAGCCACTGCACCCTCTTTTCTCCTGGCTCCCCTGAAAAGCACCTATCCTCATTCTTCCCTGGACAGCACCATGCACCTGCAGCTCTCACTCTGTCTTCACATACCTGTCCCATCAACTGCAAGACCAGTCTAGTTAGCAAAACAAACGGCTTATGACAAGGGATTGAGGGTTTTTTTGTTGTTGTTCTGTTTTGTTTTGGTCTTTTTTGTAATGGCACTATCCTGCCCCTTATTCGCACCTCACTATGAGCTCCGTACTAGAGAAGCAGGGTTGCTAGTGGGACACGAGTCACAACTGCCAGGCAGCCTAGCTCGCTCTGTGACTACTCATCCAATAGTTTTTAAAGATTTATTTTTTATTATTTTTTTATTGGAAAGGCGGATATACAGAGAGGAGAGACAGAGAGAAAGATCTTCCATCCGATGATTCACTCCCCAAGTGAGCGCAACGGGCCGATACTATGCCGATCCGAAGCCAGGAGCCTCTTCCGGGTCTCCCACGTGGGTGCAGGGTCCCAAAGCTTTGGGCCGTCCTCGACTGCTTTCCCAGGCCACAGGCAGGGAGCTGGAAGGGAAGCGGGGCAGCCAGGATTAGAACTGGCGCCCATATGGGATCCCGGGCGTGCAAGGCGAGGACCTTTTAATCACTTGCGCCACCGCGCCGGGCCCCATCCAATAGTTTTTAGTCTGACAGTCAGTGGAGCTTTGTTTGGCCCAGAACCAATTTCTGAGTAAAGTAACCACCCAATGCTCCACAAATCTCTGAGTAGCAGGCAGATGCAAACAACTGGTCTACTTTACAATTTGCAAGGCAGGGCTGATTGAAAGCCCGGGGAGAACATGACCTGGTCCCTGAGACCCAAACACAGCTCTGTTCATCTACAGATGAGTTGAGACCCAGACCTCAGGCTTGGCTTTGGACAAATGAAGATTCAAAAAGGAGGAAAGAGGAAAGATTGGGGGAAAATGAATCTTGAGATGAATGGTTTAGGGTGGGAAATACCAGGTTGATGGCTCAGGCCAGTGGCTATGTCCTGAGAGTGGGAGGGTGAGCTGCAGGAGGGAGCTTCAGGAGAGTGGCTCAGAATAGCCACTCTCAGAGGAATTGGTCAAGGCAGCCAGCTAGGCAAGGAGCAGCTGGCAGGGCAGTGTTTGTGGCCAGGCTGCGAGTGGCCACACTCACCCCAAGCATCCCAATGAGGACACATTTGGGGAGCCAGGCAGACCGCAGGGGCACACTCTCCCAGAGGCCCCCACCTCTGACACAGAATCAGGTACATTCCTCATCTGCAGGCTCTGTGCCTTTGCACCTTGCCACCTCTCAGTCGGAGTCTCAGGGTGATGGAGTTTGTCAGCGTGGCAGAGGAGAGCAGCACACTGCAGAGGGCAGGCTGACTCTTGAGTGCCTGGAGGTACCCTATGTCACTCCTCACATTTCATGACCCAAAGCCAATCACATGCAGGAGCCAGAGGTGAACAGGTGATGTCAGGAGGGGCAGGAGATAGAGGAACATGATGACATCTCCCAGAAGCAGGGAGCTGGCAGGGTGAGGGTACCTCCACAGCCCACGGTAGTGATGCTAGGTTTGAGCGGACAGGGAGCTCAGGTCAGAGGAGCCTGATGCCCTGACATCACCAACAACAGACACTGGGCTTGGTCAGGGTCAAGCTTTGTCACTGCTGTCATCTTGCAGTTAATACTGGAACATCTTCTCTCTCTTGATTCTCTCTCCCACTCCCTCCCCTTTTGTGTTGTTTTCTGTATTTGCGGTCTGTCTGTCTGTCTCTCCGTGCAGGTGGAGAAACCTAGCGTTCAGAGTTCCAAACCAAAAAAGACCTCAGCGAGCCATAAGCCTCTGCGGAAGGCCAAAGACAAGCAGGTGGTGTCGGGCCAGGCCGCCAAGAAAAAGAGTGCGGAGGGCCCTGGGGCCACCAAGCCCGACGACAAGGAGCAAAGTAAAGAGATGAACAATAAACTGGCTGAGGCTAAAGAGTAAATTTCACTGCACTTTCCTCTTCTTTCTTCCTCTTCTTTCTCTCTATCTCTCGTTTTTTAAACAACAGACAAAGGCCACAAAACTAATTAGAGGCTTCTCGTCTGCCTTGGTCCTGAGTGTTGCAGGGGTTTGGCCTTCTTTCTTGACACATCCTGGCTCTAACACAGAGGGCACCACCTCTTCCCAGGCTGCCAAGCCCCTGGAACACCAGGAAGCACTGCTCTCTGGCTGTGTCCTCCCTGTCCCCATCCCTACCCTGGAAATTGGCATGCTGAGGATGGCAGGCAGGTCTTGGAGGGGATCCAAGGCATCTGCCAATGCACCCCCATCCTGAGGCTAGGTGACACAAGCACCTTGGGGTTTATGTCGCTGCTCAATTTTGAAATTGGGGTTTATGTGCCCTTCCCCAAGGTTCAGAAAATCCTACGTGCTGCCAAAACTCAGCTTGGGCTTCAGCAATTGAAAAAAAATATTTTTATTGAAAGACAAAAAGCAGTAAAACCACCTTGGCCTTAATGTTGGCGAAATGGTTGTGTGTGCGCACAGTCACCTCTTCATAGACGCCTCTGTGTCTGTATTCAGTCTCGTGTCAGCTGGCTTCCAACTGTGTACTGGGTAACAGACAGAGACGACCACAGCTAGGGCAGGGGTGGCGGAAAGGGCCAGTGGTTTAAGGTCATTCCACGGGTCACAGGACAAGCACAGACCATTTTCCTCTGCTTAGCCTTGGCCGACTTCCTTGCTATGCTGCCCAATCCCAGAAGCCCCCGATGCCTGAGGGAGGAAACGGCAGGTGCAGGGCTCATGGACTTAGGGCATGGCCCTCTGTTTCTGAGAAAGCCAGGTGGGATGTGGATTTAATAGCAAGTGTGGTGATGTCTCCTCTCCCTTCCCCAGTTGCTCTTGCCAAGCTCCCCCAAAAAAGATAGTGCTGGGCCTAAGGTCAGAGGGGACTCTCTGATCAGGCTACAGATGAGGGGAACTTGGGCTAAAGGGTTAACAAGCCCTTGTAATCTTAGTAATGAACAGAAGAAGCAATTCTCAATGTATTCTGTGTCGTGTGTGTGTGTGAGTGTGTGTGTGGCCACAGCCCTGGGAGTGGCAGGTGCCACCTTAACTGTGCTAGACTTGTGTTATATAGGAATTTTAGGGAGTTGTTGTAAAGAGGCCACCCTCTTCCACCCCAGTGCTTGTGAGAAAAACCCAAAATAGTTACTGGAACAATTGTGTGTGCAAATGTGACGTGTATATTGCTTAGCACACTTTCTCTCTCATGCCCCCAAAATCCTCATGGTCCCCAGCATTCTGAAATGTTAGGCTGCTGTGCGATGTCAGGCTTGCTTGTTTGTTGTGATGAAGGTGATGAGTGGAGGTCCCAGCCACTTACCTCAGAAATCCTTCCTGGCTTACAAGTTTGGAGGAAATGGAGCCCCCAGTAGCTCTCTCCCAGTTCCTACTGTTCATCAGCCAAGTCTCCATTTCCATTTTGGTTGTCACTTTGGGGCAGATTACAAAGTCTTCTGCAAATGAAGTCAGCGTGTGACCTGCAGAACGGAGGGGCTTGGCCAGGCTACCTGCACTTTCTACCTCAGGATATGGCCTGGGAGGAAGGGGGAGCCCTGGAGAAAGCAGGAGATGTCAGTGAGGCTTCGTGTTTCTGAACCACAGGCTCTGCACTCCCACCTGATAATGACTGGATTGGTCACGTGGGAGGAGACTCCGGCCATGGCTTGCTACTCTAACCAGTGAGTTCAGCAATACCACCACCCCTATTTCCACAGGACTTGCCCATATACGAGAGTTAGCATTGGCTAGACAGGCTGACATTAGCCACAAGTTGAACTTCTCCATCAGATAATTCTGTATTCTCTCCAGACCAGCCAACACGGGAGATGGCTCCTTCGGCATTCACCTACCAAAGGCCTGTGTGCTGGCGCTGTGCCAGGCTTGGTGGGGGACATAAGTAACTCTGCCTCTACTGCCATTACCCTGGAGGATGCCCAAGGTTAGAGTTCTGTGCCCACATTTGAATTGGAATCACTCAAATGACAGTTTGCCAGAATAGCCCCACAGGCTTTGCCTCCCCCTCCCAGATACCCTATCCCACAGCCCCAGGGACTGCATCCCGCCTGGTCCCACCTGTGGCTTTCAGTGAGAAGCAGATGACGGCCTTCTTTTGGCCTGTCCATGTCCCCTGCCTGTAGCTCACTGGACTTTGGAATGTGTTGCTGTGCCAGGGAAAGAGTCCCTCCAAACTATTTCTGTTTACAAAAACAAGAAGCAAAAAACCCCACAACTCAGCTAGTCTGCTGTTTCCTCCGGAACACGCTGACTGAACAGGAGTGTTCAGTGTTCCGGTGTTGCCTTTCCTAAGGTGACCACGCCTCCCATGTCTGTCTTTCCATCTCACTTCCCACCCCTCCCGGGAGGAGAGCCAGGACCGCAGGGCTCCAGGTGCCTGCTCCCTATCCCTGCAGCAGACCCCAAGCCTGCGCTGGCCTCCTAGGCTCTCCCAGCCCTCCTCCCCGGGAGTGTTCCCTCTCCCAGGCAGACAGGAAGCGTCTAATTAGGATTTTGTGGCCTGGGTTGTGTTGCATACCATAGATTGTCTATGTCACCGTGTAGCGCTCACCTCTCTTGGTGCTATTTCATTCCTGCTGTTAGTAAGAGAATCACACACACATAAAAATATTCATGTACAGCCAATTGATTGTGACATGCTTGTGGTCGTCTGTGCTTGCTCAGCAAAAAAAAAAAAAAAAAGAAAGAAAGAAAGAAAGCAAGAAACAGTTTTTCCAATTACAAATAAATGCTAAAGACGAACACTCCTTTCTTGATCTTATTTCCCTGGCGAGGCCCAGCTGAGTAGGCGAAGGAAACAGCCTTTGCCACTTGAGCCACACTCCGCAAGGATGAGCTGCGCCCTGCAGTTCCCCGGGGTCCTCCATAATGCAGCTGGACTCTTGTAGACTGCCTCTCAGATACTGAGCGCAAGCAGTCTGAGCTAAGTGTTGGGAAAGGCGAAGACGGACCGGGAGACCCGCTGGCTGACAAGGTAGCGTAACGTTGTGACCCCTCGTTGCCGGGACCAGTGACTGACTGCTTGTGCCTGGCACCACCTGGCAAGTGTGCTGGGAGGCTGGGCTCTGACTTTCCACTCCCTTCCTGTCTCCTGGCAGGCCTGGCAGTTCCGGCTTTTTCTCCTCCTCCCCAGGCAGGGATGGCAGAGATGAACTTGTTCATTGAATTTATGGCTATTCTGGAGGGTGCCCCGCTCAGGGTACTGGCTCACAGTGGGAGGTGTCAGGGGTGACAGCCTGCTGTGTGCCTGCATGGGAGTGCCGAGACAGCCATTAAGAGAGGCCCAGATCCTGTAACAACAGCCCTGGTGGTGCGAGTCACAGAAGGCTTCCTGGCAGAGAATGTCTTAGAAAGTAGATGGGGCGTGGATGCGTAGGGCATGCAGGGGCAGATTGGGGGTGGGAGGGGTGGGACCCCAAGATGGGGGAGTCCTCGGATCTGAAATCCGGTCTGCGTATTCCCATTATATCTCTGATAGAGTAGGAGACAGATCTTATGCTCTTCATTTCTCTGACCTGCTGATGAATACCTGTGATATGCCAGAGGCTCTGTGCTGGGCACTAGGGCAACCAGGATGACTGAGACGCGTCTCTGATCCCAGTGGAGGAGTCCCTTCTAGCTGGTTCCACGGAACAGGGAAGACCTCAGCGCACAGGTGGTGACCAGGTGACAGAGCTGGGGTGGCCGCAGCCTGCCCAGCACAGGGAGCTGCCAAGAACAAAGGTGTGCAGAGGTCAGAGCCCAGGGATGGGGAGGGAGTGGGAGACAGCACCAGCAGAATCTGAGCAAAGACTGGGGAGTGTTGAAGCACACCCAGGCAGGCCTGGTGCTGAGGCAGTGGGCTGTCCACTCACCGGGCTCTCCCCTCCATCTTGCCAGAGTGCATCACACCCACGCATGCTCCCCACCATCATGCTTGCCACCCCCTTCTATCCCACTCCCCAACTCAACCACGTGGCCCTGCAGCCACCTTAAGGCCTCTCCTGTGCCAGCTATTACCCCAAGGGCAGGACCTTGATTCTTCTGCTGGTCCTGGTTCCTGTGTTTGAGGGGGTGGGGGCAGGGGTCCATCAAGGGTGGTGATAAGGGGAAAATGACCACCATGTGTTTGTTTTCCAGATGAACAGGAAACCCTCTGAGGCAGAAAATACACAGCTCTGGCCCTTAAATCCTAAAAATGTTCAACAGTATAACATCTGGTTCCCTTTTGATCAGTGAGGCAAGAGAGGAAACAGGGATGGAGAAAAGTGGCAAGAAAGAGGAGAGACAGAAGCAGACCGAGGCAGTGCACAGTGGGGCACAGGGAGCAGCTTGGAGGGTGAGAGACTCCGGAGGGCCAGGACCAGGCAACTCAGGAGGCAGGTGCAAGGTGTGGCCTTGCTAGCCTCACCTGTGCTGCCCACACACCCAGGGCTAACCTGCCATCTCCTCCAGGCTCCCCAGCCTTTCTAGAGCCTCAGGAGCTGAATCTATAACCCATCATTCCATAAGACCACAAAGGAAAGCCGGCCTTCTGCTTTTAAACTCAAAGCTACATTAAAGGCATATTAATTCAGAGTTTGTTTACATCCAGCCAGAAAAAAAAAAAAAATTTTTTTTCTCCTCTTGCTTTTTCCCCTGGAGGTTTCTAAGTTTGTTATAATGCTTCTCCTGTACCTGGGAGGCATCAGTCCCTTCTCAGGAGGGCATTGCCATTGCCCCTGGGGCTCCGCATCCTTTCACTGCTGCAGTGCCTTGAAGCAGTTCCCCTTGTTAGGACCACAGAGAGAAACATTTCCATCAAGGGTGTGGCCTTTGTGGCCATCTGCAGGTAAAACAAGGCAGCACCCCTAAGCTGGCTGGCCAGCTGAGGTCCCTGCAATAAGGAGCAGCCATGATTTCAAAGGTAACATGAGCCCAGACTCTTTAGGCATCACCTT